AGCTGGCCGTGGAGATGACGCCAGCAGCAACCCCTGGCGTTCCTCTGCGCAAAGCGTTCGCGGGTGTCACCCCTCGCGCCGCGCCGCGCCCGCGACTCTCCCATCCGTTGCCGCAGACGGTGAACATGGCGTCGGACTCGGGTTCCGGTTCCGAGTCACCCTACGATCATGCAATCGACCGCGCGTCGTTTGTGTCAACCGCGTCGTCGCACGATCTTACGACGCACGCGCGCGCGAACGCGTCCTTTGATCCCGTCATGGGACTCGCGGAGCGCGGGCACGGCGTAGGTCGTTTCAACGCTGGGAAGCTCAACTCGTACCTCCATGGGCTGAACCGGCGTTTGCAGGAGGAAAATGAGATGCTCGTCGCACGCCTGCGCGCATTCGAGGAGCAGGGTCCGGGCGAGGGCGAGCGAGGGACGACGCCGTCTTCGGTGTCAGCGGGTACGCCTGCGTCGAACCAGGGACGGCGTGTGAGTGGCGGGCGGCGCGTGAGTGCTGGCCCCGCCTTCGGCCTTGGCGATGTGGCCGAAGACGTTGCGGAAGCGTGGCTCGAGGAGAAAGCTGCGCTGGAGGAGATGTTGGAAGAGCTGAAGGAGGAGCTTCAAACCTGTGCCGCCGATAAGGACAAGGCCGAAGACGACCTGCGGAACGAACGGGCTGAGCGTGCGCGCGACAAAGAGCGGTGGAGGGAGCGCATGACGGAAGTTGAGAAGGGCGTCGGGGACATCGTCACCGACTTGGAGAGGCGGCTCGTTGAGGCGGAGGAGGCTGCGAAACGGGCGGAAGCGGACAAGACGGAGGATGTCAAGGACGCTGAGCGCCGCCTAGCGGTGGTGATGGTCGAGAAGGATGTCCTTGCCGAACGCATCAAGAAGGCGGAGAGCGCACTCGAGAGCGGGCGTGACCTTGGGGCCGAGGTCAATGCGGCTAATGAACGGCTAGCGAAGATCCAGGGCGACCTGCAGAACGCGCAGAGACAGATCAAGGAGCTCGAGGAGGAGGTCATCCAAGCGGATGAACGGCTTGATGAGGCTGAGAGCACGCTCGGCGCGGAGCGGAAGAGAACTGTCGCACTTGAGGCGGAGTTGCGGGCGAAGATGGAGGAGCTCTCGGATGCCGTTCAGTCCGTCGAGGAACTCGAGGAGAACATTGCTAAGACTCAAGCTCAGCTCCGTCAAACAGAGGATGCGCTCGCTCAGAACGAGGCCGACGCTGCTGAGGACGGGGCACGCATAGAGGAGCTGGACCGGCAGCTGGCTACCGCCAAGGAGACCATCCAGCAGCTGGAGGCCGAGCTCGAGGATGAGAGGCAGGAGAACGACCGTCTTATAGATGACGCTGGCAAGATGTCGGAGCTCGCACGCCAGATGGAAGACGCCCTCGAAGCAGCGGAGAAGAAGATGATGGAGGACGAGCAGCAGGTCGCTACACTCAAAGCGACCATCGCATCGCTGGAGCGCGCGGCCGAGAAGGCGCAGGAGCGATCCACCTTGCACACCGCTCCCTCTCAGAGTACGGTAATTGAAGAGTTGCAAGGCGAGGTCGAGACCCTGGAGTCGGAGCTCGACGACGCAAACAAGGAGATTGCTCGGCTCCGAACTACCCTAGCTCAGTCGCCTGCGCGCAAAGCGATCGAGAGGGCCAAGGACGCTCGTATCGAGCTCCTCGAGAAGGAGAAGGAGGACCTCTTGGAGAGGGTTAAGTTGATGAGGAACCAGAGTGGAATTTTCGGCACTCCCGTCAAGACAGGGAACGTCAGCGGCATGTCGCCTCTTCACCGACAACTTCTCAGCATGTCCCTCAAGAGCCCAAAGACCCCTGGCGGACCTCTCCGCGACGTCAGTGCTTTCCCGCTGTGTACTTGTTGCATCACTGATCCGTCTGTTTTTAGCTCTCGTGGCTGCAGAACAGCATGCAGGACCCATCAATGGCGCCATTGGTCGCCGAAATGGCGAGATTACAGCAGGAGCTTGACCGTGCTAACGCGAGCATCGACGAGAAGCTCGACCGTCTTGAAGATGCCGGCTTCGGTGTCGTGGACCTCACGAAGCAGCTCGAGGACGCGCGCAGCGACATCGTCACACTTGAGGACCAGATCGCGAGGATGTCCCGCCGGGAGGAGCGCCGGATCCGCCGCCTGCAGCGTCTGCGCTGCACGAAGTGTCGAACAAAGATTGACATGCGTGGGTTGCAGAGCACGGGCGATGGCGACGAGAGGTAAGATACAAGTGGCATCTGTCTCCTGTCACGGCGCTGACGCCATCGTCCGCAGCTCTATCCTCGAGATGTCAACGATGAGTCTCCCTGCTGAACCACCGACACCGCCTACTCGAACAAGCGAAGCGCTGCGCAGTGAGTTGAGAGAAGTGAACGCCCAGCTGGAGTCCATGCGCAGGAACTGGGAAGATGAGCGGAGGAGGATACTGGGAGAGAATGCTGTGCTTCAAGATGCCGCTACTCGACTCGACGCTGAGGTTCGCGACGCGAAGGATGAACTCCGCAAGTTCGCTAGTGCGGAGCGTGCAGGCGAACGTGCGCGCGCTGGAGTGGAAGGCGTGAGTGCAGTTCCACGGTCTGTTAGCAGTCATCTCACTCCATTGCGCAAACAGGAACTTGCTAAGGCAAAGCAGACCATGGAAGCGCTCGAAGCCGAATTGAAAGCGGAACGGAGCCGTCTCCGTGCTCTTACGACGGAACAGACACGCGCGCAACGCGAGAAGGAAGCTGTTCTGATGAACCTACGCCGCACAGAAACCGTGAGTAGCGGTGGCAAGATGCGGACAAGAAAGGCAGTGCTGACGTACCTTCGATGCAGGACATGGCAGATGTACGGCAGCACTTGCAGCAGATCAAGCAGGAGAACCACGACCTCGAAAGGGAATTGCGCAGCAATGCAAATGCGGAGCAGAAGGCCCGTCTGCTCGAGAGCAAGGTTGCACAAAATCTGGAGAATATTGAGCAGCTCCGCCAAGAGCGGTCTATTCTTGCAGCGGATCACAAGGAGCTCCAGCGTCGCTATTCGAAAGCAACAGAGGTTCGTGTCTGCGGCAGCGGTTCCGAGGTAAAACATTACTGAACACTGAAGCAGGAAGTCAACCGCCTCAAGAGTGAATTCCTTGCCTCTCAAACCTCCCACGACAATCGTCGCCACGAACTGGACACTCGCGCTCTCGAGATCGATGACCTAAGACGTGCTCTGTCCGACCAAGCATCGGAACTCGAGCGTGTCGAGGCTGAGAAAGCTCGCATGGCCGCGGAGAAGGGCGACGTTGCCCGCACGGTTGCGGCGCTCGAAGCTGACCTCCGTCGTGTGCGTCGAGATGCCGAGTCGTTCGGCCGCGATCTCAAGGCCCTCCGAGCGCAGAAGGAGCGGATAGACGAGGAACGACGCGAAGAGCGTGCAAAGGCTGACCGTGCGCACAAACAATCTCAAGCACAGATCCGCATCCTCAAGGAGGAGATAGACGGGCAGAAGGAGAGGACCCGGGAGGCGAAGGAGGCATGGACGGCCCATGTTTGCGCTGCGTGAGTGGGGCCTAGGCCAGTGAGAGAGAGAGATTTTACTGACTGGGTAACATGCAGGGACGATCATCAGCTCGTCGCGCTGAAACAGCAGCACAATCAGGAGTGCAAAGGCCTGATTGCACAGATACGGTACTTGAAAGCCAAGTTCACACGCGAGTCGACGTTCCGTTGCGATCTTGGGTACCAAAAACAGTACCTGTTGGTCGTGATGGCGCGTCTTGAGCGGAGGTGCGTGGGCGTGCTGTTGCGTGATGTCTATGAGGTACTGACAGTTGCGGCTGCTTCTAGCGAGGGCAGGATACTAGCAGCCATCGCGCGGATTGGATTCCCCGTGATCTCTAATGTTCCAGCCGTGAAAGACAAACGTCGTTCATTGCGAAGTGTGGCCTACACCGTGCTGTTCGTGCACCGCACGAGGTACGTTGCGCTCCGGACCCGACATCCTGGTTCCTTCTATCTGACATGCTTGCGCAGACGTGCGAGTGACCAGTGGCGACAACATCGAACAACAAAACCCGCCATCGAAGCTGCTCTGCAGGAAGTACGAAAGCGGCGCGCTATCTCCGCAGCTCCAGGAGGGTCCAGCACGAAATCTTCTGGCAGAAGTGCTGCCAGGACGTAGACGAGCGCAGGACGTTCTATCCATTCCCATGTTGTATTTTTAGGTCCGTTCTGAGGCCACACCTCGTTTGCATATCCTCTGCCTCCTGCTAATCGTATGTAGCTATATGTTATGCCATATGTTAGACTCGCTGAAAGACATTGCAGCTAGTAAGCGTAGTGCGATCTTACAGCCTTGGGAGGACACAGTCACTTATTGGCAAGTGTACACGGCGGTCCTCGCACTCCAGTAGTCGTGCCTTGTATCTTTATGATTATGATATAGGATCATGACGCGACATCTCCAGTAGACAGTCGCGATGAGGGACCGGTACCAAACGGCTATTTTCAATGATACCAGGACCCCACTTATCACAGGCACGTTCTGGCTGGGGCCATTAATATTGTTGAGTATTTCTAGGCGTACCTGTCGGAATTCACCTATTGGCTGCTATTCTTTGGCCATCCTATGGTTCCTTGAAGCTCTGCAAGTGCAATGTGGGCATCTGGATAATATCGATGTTCATGCACTGCGCACCATGAGTCCGTGCTTGTCGTGGGTCCGCGTATATCGCAGAATCATTCAAGAGTGATCTTTGCGAATGCGTGAGAAGGATGGTCACGAAGCCAATCCAAGAGACCTCAGAAGGTTGCTGAGTACTACGAAAGACAAATGGGAACACTGAGGAAAGTGAAGATGCCTGGAAGACAAACTCAGAAAGAATGACGACATAACATGCATAATTTGCACATTGTAGCAAGGTGTTAAATGGAGAAGACAGCAAGAGAGAGACTTCGGTAGCACTCCAGAGGGTCGACCGCTATGAAACGGTAAACCCGAGGAAGCAAAGAGGTCATGATGACCTGCAAAATGACCACCGCAGGGGTCGAACCTGCAATCTCCTGATTACCCCGTCGTAGTCAGACGCGTTGCCATTACGCCAGGCGGCCATGTAAGTGTTCGCAGTCAACGCTCCATGACCATTTTGCTGCTCAATGACGTAGACGTAGCTAGCTATTGCTTGAACGTATGCAGAACGTATGTTACGGTGTCCCCCTCCTCTACTTTGAACCACCACCAGGCTTTAACAGCTGTAATGCTCTCTCGCTTGATCTTGAGACGATATCCTCGTGTCAGCACTGCACGGCCTCCGACATTCGCACCAGTTCCTCACTCTCAGCTCTCCCGATGTACGTATCGAAGGTCATCGCTAGTTTGGTTCCGCCCAGCGAGCAGCAATGCTCCTTCGGACCCGCATCAGAGACCACAACAATCAGAAATAACGAACAAACAGTCTATCTCCGCCCGCGAAAATATATACACTATCCCAAATTTGCTCACCGTTTCCCGGATCATTGCTTGCCCTGTCCTTGGCCTCGCGATAGTCGATGACAACTTCTACCTTGCGACTGGCATCCTCATTTACGCGGGACTCACGGACCTGGTCTGCCACCTCATACACTTGTTCTGCGAAATCCTGCTTGAGCTTGTTCGCCCAGGTTGACGGTTACCTTGCCCGGAGGTTCAAGATGCAGTCCGTCGTGGGCACCATCCTCGATCCCGCAGCGGACAAAATCCTAATGACGACTTTGACGGTGACTCTTGCAGTGAAGGATCTGATTCCAAGTGCGTATTTCTCGCCTGGGTTCTGTCGTCACACGTTGTCATGATTCCCTCCTCCACCAGTCCCTGTTGCGGCTATCATCCTCGGACGTGATGTGTTGCTCAGTCTTGCCGCTTTCTACATCCGTTACACGTCTCTCCCGCCTCCTGTATGTGGACCTTTCACTCGCGTTTCCATGTCACGTGACCGTTGCTGCAGAAAACATTCACTCGCTACTGGGATTTCTCCATCCCATCGGCAGAAGTACGACCGACGACGATAAGCAAGGCATGCATATACTTTATCAGTTGACTGACGATGAACAACTGATGATGACGCCATGGCAGGTCAACACTGGCCTGCAACTGCTTCTCATGGGTACTGCGACTGTGAGTCCAATACTCCCCGTGGACATCGCTGTCCCTCTACAAGCATTACAGTGAGTCTCAAATCTACTGCTTCCGCGGTCTTGGAGTATACTATATCAATGTATAGGTGGATCGTCGCGGGGACAACGGTATGGAGCGGCGCCTCATATCTTTTCGCGAAGGATGGCTTCCGTGTGGTCACCCCTGCGGCGAAAGGCCGCCCGCCCGCTCCGCCTCCATCACCACCATCATAGGTTGGTTCATTGTTCAGTCCGCTGTTATGTGATCCGCGCTCGCCTTCGCCCTTGTTGATGCACAGTTTTATCTTCGACGCTCTACTGCATAATGTCACATCTTGTTCCACTTGTCGTTGCCGGTCCGTACCGTCTCTTCTCAAACTCTTGCACCGTGGGGAGTCGCATGACCGGTCGAATGTGGTTTTTGACCACACTACGACTCGGTCGTTGGCGCTGGTTGAACCTGATCTATTTCGGTATCGACAACCCTCCGATGAACACTGTTGCACCCTGAGTAGGCGTGGTGTTGGTATTGGTAGGTTCGTGAAGTAATTATAGGCCATGTTCTTGATCAGTCTCCCACAGCTGTCGGTGGGGATAGACATGCCGTGAGGGATACCTGCGCAGACATCGTCCGGATTGCTTCAATTGGCGATCGTTTCACATAATCTCTCGCAACGCACAGTATGTATTCTCACCCGAGTCCGGTGAGCGCGGACAATGTCGAGATGTTTCGAAACTATTACTGACGTTTATCCTAGAAGGACAGTGGCCGGTACAGTACAAACACTGAACTACATGATCAATCTCAAACAGTCTCTGCAAGTCTCGTATGAAGCTCGTACTTTGGCTACTACGCTACGGGGATCTACATACGTACTTGCCTGATGCAACACAATCGCCGCCCACGAGATGGGATCACTGGTGTGACAGCTGTCGTACGTTCGATCCACAATACAGCCTTCTATCAACTGCACGAGCTGCTGATAGCGCGCCCGCATAATGCTAGCCCTTCTCGTGCCTCCGTGCTTCGACCGGGGTGTGCCGTAGCCTGAAATTAGCTCTACGCGCGGACAGTTGGGATCACCGTGCAACGCTCATAAGAACCCCCATGCACCGATCCAGACCGTCAGTACTGGTACTTGTGCGAGGACCAGCCCGACCACGCCCATTGTCTTCAGACCGCCTAGCGAACACTTCCTGACGATGGTGGTGCTGGTTCCAATCGATACCCTCAAGCTTGCCAGTCTCGCCGTCGATGGTCCGCTCTACGGTGCGTCGCGCGGTTGGCCCTTTCCTGCCCGCCTAGAAACTCACGTCACTATGACACGCAGGAGTCTTCGTCTGCATGGTCATCGTGTGCGGATATGATCTGTTACGCCGGGCGATCCGCAAGGAAACCCAGCTGAGCTGGCCGATGATGCTCGCTGGAGGGCTGCTCATCGTCCTCGCGACCATCCGTTTCATCCTCAACGCCGTCTATGTCGGCACCGCGTTCCTCGACCACGACACCCGTGCGGCCCGGCAGGCGTACTTCCACAACGTCAAGAACGACATCTTCCGCACGCGGCACGTCATCTTCGTACTCGTGCAATTCGTGGGCGACTCGTTCGCGGTACGTCACCGCTGCTCGTTTTCCGAATTGCAGTCGCCTTCTGACGCCCGCCGAATCTATGTAGAACTACCGCTGCTGGGTAGTTTGGCAGAAGAACTACTGGGTCATCGCCTTTCCTGTGCTGCTGTCTCTCGTCAGCACCGGTGCGTCATCGCTGCGCCTGTGGTTAACCCGCCTCCGAGGTCTCTGACGCTTGCGCAGGCTGCGGGTCGTTCACGGTCTGGGCGTTCGTCGGGCTCCCGAACCAGTCTCCGGTCTCCCAGGTGCAGTGGCTCAGGTCGTTCTTCTCGCTGAGTCTGGTGGCGAACGCGCTCGCGACTTGTACGTGTTTCTCGGCCCCGTGTGTGAGCAGTGGGAACGGAATACTCACAGACCCACCCGCCAGCGCTGCTCGCGTTCCGCATCTGGTCCGTCGACCGCAACACGAACAAGGCGATCCTCAGCCGGAGCTCGACCCGCACCCTCTTCCCCGTCGTGCGCATCGTGCTCGAGAGCGGGCTGATCAACGCCGCCTATCTCTTCGCGTTCATGATGGTCGTCGCCTTCGACCCGTCCGTCGCGGAGCTCATGTGTGACGTCGTGCGTGTCTTCCTTGCTCTGTCCTCTTCGTCCCACGCACGACACGGAAGGTTATGTTCCTGACCCGCACCTTCCCCGCATGCACCCGCAGGGCACGTCGCTCACGGGCATCATCTTCTCCATCGTCATCCTCCGCGTCTCGCGCAGGCACCACGACGACACCGTGTACGCGCTGAGCTCGTGGAAGACGACGGAGAACTCGCGCCCGAAGGCGTCGAACCAGACCGCGAGCCAGCCGCCGACGATACCCTTCGAGGTCTACATCGAGAGCAGCAAGTCGCAGACCGTCAGCGGCGGGAGCAACGACATCGACTACAAGACCGGGTCTGTCTGATACAGCGGCGGCGTTGGGGAGGCGGTCGTGTACAACATTAAGCTGTTTATCTATGGAGTGCGGGTTTGAGCTCAAACCCTCATGTCTGTGTAATGATCGATGTCAATAGATCGCGTAACGTGTGGTTCTGAGTCACGAGCTGACTGATGTGCTCTCCTTTCCCTCGATGGCTGGCACGTACAGCGTATCCAACATCTGGGAACATCCCACGCATCCACGGGGTCCATGTGTACCCCTCTTCTAGAGCAAGGGCCGGGTCTGCACTTTCTAGTATATCAATTTTGCAGCGCCGGGCAACGATGGGGCAGGGGATGTTCGTCGCTACAACGGAGGTACGGATGACATATTAACCGTCAAGGAAGCCGGTGACCGTCACAACCTTGTCAACGCTTAAATTGGAGGACACGCTGGGCCAGAGGCGGAGTATATCGTGTGTCTTCGAGGAAGGATGTGATATACCTTCTCGTAGGCCAGTTGGGAATGAGCTGGGGATCATGTAGATAGCTGCACGTATTCCCTTCTCCTCGTCGTATTCCTTCGAGCTCTCGTCAGAGAAGAATTCGTCGGGATCGAAGGTGTGCTGATTTGTTTGTGAGGTGATTCAGGATCGGTTGTATGAGACATCGCAAGACAGGCTCTTGTGAGCCCTTGTGTGCAAGATGTAATGTAACTTTGTAAGACCGAAGGAAAGCGCGGGAGCACCTCTTAGGTTTGAAGGGCACAAGCGAGGATGGGACTGCATAGCTAATATTCCACTGCCCGCCTAGCTCAATCGGATAGAGCGTCAGACTCTTACGAGTTAAATCGGCGGGACGATCTGAAGGCTGCGAGTTCGACCCTCGCGGTGGGCTAGTTGTTTTGTGTACTTTATTTTTCTGCGTAACCACTCTGGAACTAGAGATCGAGCATCATTCTTTCAGCGTAATCGGCTAGTAAGCTCCTTCTCTTGCACTATCGTGAGGCACAGATATGCTTTCGGTGTGCGATACTTGGTCTTGCACGTAGCCATGGTGGTGGGTGTGTGCGAGTACCACGACGGATGGGTACGAGACCACCAATACTTGGTAGGAATAGCTGCTAAGAGAGAAATGACCCGAGCCTCGTGAATGTATTCCTGAGGACCTGACCACAAAGCGTCTCGAATAATCAGACCGAGCTACTGTCCAAGCTATACACTACAATATTCACGGCATCTACTATGTAGAAACAACGTGTATTCAAGGCTTACTGAGCCAGCGAGAGGCGCAGCGGCATCGCAGCGTTCAGCTCTTCCTTGCCCACGACGATCGGGAACATGATCATTCCTGCTGAAGCGCGTCTGATGACCGTCTTCTCTGCCGGGAGTGAGAACTGAAACTTCTCCACCAGCTCGGCAAGGATGGTCTGCATTTCGATGACACTGAACGGCGGCGTGACGACATGTCAAGGCCCATA